TCTCATCTGTGAAATGGGGATCATGTTACCTGACTTTCTGATGTGCTGATTTCACGTGGCGGTTGTGATGATCAAATGAATTTTTTTTTTTCACTCTGAAAGAGCTTAAAGATTCAAGAGCACTTTACAGATGTAGAGGATGATTTTTACAAAGAATTCAGGGTGCACCCTGTTGGTCCCTCAGCCCCTTGCCTCAGAGAGTGAGGGGTCACGTTCAGGGGCTCTGGAATCAAAGGATCTGGGTTCAAATCACATCTCTGATTTATTTATTTCTGGGCAAGTCATTTTACATCTCTGTGTATAAAATGGGGGGTTTGGACCAGATGGCCTCTGGGGTCTTCCAGCTCTAAAGATATAACTCTGTGAATACTGGGCCAAATGACCTCTGATAGTTCTCTGACCATGGACAGTTCCCTGGACCTCTTTGGGCCATACTTTCATCACCTATAAAATGAGAGGGTTTAACTAAAGGGTCTCGGAGGCCTCTTCCAGTTCTAAATTTGTGATTCTCTGATCTCGAGTGCCTATTGTTCGTTCGGAGGAGTTCTTAACCAGGGGTCCACAAACCCTAAAGGAGTCAGCGGAGACGTTTCAGTGGTCCTCTGAACTTTTCAAAAAGCGTATTTCGATGGATGAATATTTACAAAAATATAAACGACCCAGAATAACAGGAGAGGAAATAGAATGTTTAAACAGCCCTATGGTAGAAAAAGAAATTGAACAAGTCGTAAATGAACTCCCTGAGGAAAAAATATATTTTGATAACTATCTCAACAGAATTGAATTAAATTGGAAGTTCTTTGAGGACAGGGACTGTCTTCTGCCTCTTTTTGTATACCCAGAGCTTAGCGCAGTGCTTGGTACATAGTAGGCATTTCGTAAATATTGATTATTGATTAAGAAATGCTTTCTTCATAATACTAAGTATTTTATGCATTTAAAAACATGATTCTGAGGATTATCAAAGTAGTCCATTACATGGAAAGAGAGAGAGACAGAGAGAGAGAGAGAGGCTAAGGATTCTCCACTAGCTTCATTAGGCCAGCTCACTACTCCAAAGTACCATCTTCCATGAAACAGCTTCCTTTTCCCTGTAATCCCAAACTTCTCCTCATTAATAGTACCCTCCTAGGGTTGAGAAGGGGAACAGTACGCTCCATGATTTGGACCATTTGGTCTAAGCTTCTGAAGTCTCCCCTTCTGGCTATGGATTGCCTTTTGGTCCCCCCTCTGCAGAAGGCCAGACCTAGGCCTGCCACAGATAATCCTAAAACAAGTCTGATTCCAGCGTGGCCTAGAGGAAAGCAAACCTAACTGGGAGTTGTAAGGATGGGATTTTATCTCTGGCTTCAACTAACTTATAGTATGACTTTGGGCAAGTACTTTCCCCTATCTCTGGTCCCCTAATCCTCCATCTTCCTGTGTGGTCATGGACAATTCACTTCTTTTGGGACCTCTTTTTCCTCCTTTGTAAAATGAAGTGGTTGGACTAGATGATGTCCAAATCCTCTTTTGGATTCTGTGGAGGTGCTCAGGGAGGGCATGAGAAGGAAAGGGATTTCAAGGTGGCCACTTCTTGTCACAGGTCAGTTTATACATCCCAGTCTCTTCATCCACCTTCTCATGATAGTTGCCATGGGATCTGACCTGTTCCCACCTGATCTGATCCACATCAGACCAGAAGCTCCCTGAGGGCAGGGGCTGAATCTTCTTCAGATCTGCAACCACCTGACAGCTGTCTCTCTCGAAGGAAATGAGGTTCTCCAGAGTTGGGAACTTCAACCCCCATACAACTTGGACTGTCCTCTTCCCACCCCCCTCCTCCCAGGAGGGGGCTGTATTTGCTCTCCTTAGCTCAGGGTCTCCCCCTCAAAGCAGGAGCTTGTTCTCCTCCAATGGACTGGGGGCAGGCTGAGGGTGGGGAACGTGTCTCCCTCATATGAATAGGAGCTCCTCAAGGACAAAAGACTTGATTCCCACATCAGACTGGGAGCTGCCTAAAGGCAGAAGCTCTATCTCCACTAGAGTCAGAGGGCCTAGGTTTAAATTCCCCTCTAATGTTTAATATCTGTGTGACCTTGAGCAAGTCACTACCCTTCTCTGGGCCTCAGTTTCTTCACCTGTAAAATTAGGGGGTTGGACTTGATTGTCTTTGAGATCCCTTGCTGCCTTACAGCCATGAGCCTAGAGTCCCACGCCTAGTGGTTTCTTAAGGGCAGAAGCCTTGTCTACCCCTTCATACCAAGGACTCTCCAAGCACGAGGACTATGTGTCTCCCATCAGATTATGATTTCCTCCTGGGTCAATAACCATCTCCTTGCTGGACTGGGAGCTCCCTGAGAGCAAGGACTGGATTCAAGGACTGAAAAAAAGCCTTTTTGCTTATTTTCCCCACAGGGCTTAGGATAGGGTGGGTGCCTTGCCCAAAAGGGGCACTCAGTTACTGGCTAGTTTTGGGGGGGATTGGCCTATTCAAAATTTGAGAGATAGAGACAGAGAACAGAGAGAGAACACGTGTGTGGGGTGGGGGGAGTGCATGGCTATATAAAAATAACCATCCTTGGGGACCCAGAGCTGGGCTGGCTGCTGTGTGTGTGTTGGTAGGATGACAGGGGCCCCATCCCAGTGGGGGCCTCCCAGCCTGTTATCTCTGCTCTTCATCCCCTCCCATCTCAGTGGGTCCTGCATCCATCCTTGGACCCAGTCGTTTGTCTCTTTTTTGCTTGTCAGACAACTGCAGAGCATACAAGGGACTGCAGGGTGTGCGTCTAGCTGGGTGACTCATGCTCTGGTGACTCCCTGAGCCTCAGCCTGAGCGTGCACACGCACACACACACTCACACACACACTCACCCTGCACCTCAGCCCATCTTGCTTTCCTCATTTCTCTGGAGGAAAGAGGCAGGCTCAGTCCAGATTCTGGTCCACACAGTAGCATTTGAGCCCATAGTCAGACCTCCAGCTCCCCAAAGGGCACTGTCTCAAGAACTGCCCTTCCTCTGGATTTGAGGGAAGGGGGAGAGGCACAGTGGAAAGAATATGGGATTGAGATTCAGAAGAGATGACTTCACACTGGAGTGGATGACTTGGGGCTGATCACTTTGCCCTTCTGAGACTCGGTTTCCACATCTGTAGACAGAGAATTCTTGAAGATGGCAAAGCCTTAGTTTTAACTTAGAACACCCTTCCCCTCCTCTACTCTCCTCCACCTCCCCAGCCACTGAGTAGAATTTTAGGAGCTTTCTGTTTGTAATGAAATGGTCCCTGGACATGGAGTCAGAAGAAGATTTGGGCGCAAGCCCTGGTTGTCACTTACAAGCTTAAATCCCTCTCTGGGCCTCAGTTTCTTTCACTTGTAAATGATATAAAAATGCCTTCACTGCCTGCCTCGTAGGGTCTGATGGGAACAGCAAACAAGCTAGTAAATGTGAAAGCATTCTGTAGACAGCAGAGCATGAATACCAAGTCCTATCTGTGTGGGTGGGGGAAAGATCTGGTCACAAGTGTGGCCTTCCGATCCCAGGCAGGTAGACCCCTATCTGACTGCCAGTGCTTCTCATGGGACTTGAGCTATTCTTAATGATGCTGACGCTTCACATTTCTAGAGGATTGTGTAGGTGTGCAGGCCATTTTTCTTCCAACAATTTTGTGAGCAAATAAAGGCAAGGATTCATACCCTCATTTTTACTGATGAAAAAATGAGACCTCAGAGAGGGAAAGGGACAAGTCCACTGTCACACAGAGAACAAGCAGCAGAGCCTAGAGGTCCCCTAAGTAGGATCCCAGGTACCATTTCTTTCTTTCTTTTCTTTTTTTTGGCAATTGGGGTTAAGTGACTTGCCCAGGGTCACACAGCTAGTAAGTGTCAAGTGTTTGGTCTGAGGCTGGATTTGAACTCAGATACTCCTGACTTCAGGGCTGGTGCTCTATCCACTGTGCCACCTAGCTGCCCCCCAGGTACTGTTTCTTCCAAGTCATCTGTGAAGTGCCTTTTCCAATGAGTTTTACAGGGAGTGAGGCTGGGGCAGGATGGGACTCCCCCCCAGGGGTCATCCCGTGCATCTCTCTGGGGCATCTTAAGGGGAAACATGGACCCCAGTCCCTGAGGGTCTAGAGGAACACTCCTTATCTGCTGTAGGTTGTAGGTGAAATTAAAGATACCATAGAAATGAGTTATACTTTTCATTACAGCACTCTTGATCTAGCAGCCAGGAGATCTGGGTTTAAATCCTGGGTTTGCCCCTGGCTTGCAGTACTGTCCTATTAAGAAAGCCAAGGCAAGTAAACTGTGGGGACAGCCAGGCATCTGCTCCAAATAAAATCCCTGACAAGGAGCACCAACCTCTCTACTACTCGGGGGCTGCAAGATTCCCAAATAACAAGAAGAAGGAGCCCTATTTGCGAGCTGATGTTTCTTAGGTGGGTCTCTTGTACTGCTGTCACAGAGCTGTTCCTTGGGAGGAGAGGTAAGAGTCTTCATGGCAGAGCAGTGGGTGGGCTGGGGAAGGGCTCTGCTGTTCCTGGACCTTTCCCCGAGTGTCTCTGTTTCCCTGTGCTGGAAGCCCAATGGGCATTGAGGCCACCTGGGGATGTTTCATAGGGCCGCAGAGAGAGTGCTGGGGGACCCGGGTTTGACCGTCTGTAAGATGTTGGAAAAGTTATTCATTTCTCTGAGCCCTGTTTGTTTATCTATGAAATGAAGGGTGGAGGTTGAAGACCTCTGAGGTCCCCTCCCACTCCAAAACTCTGATTCTCTGATTGATAAAGTCACTGTTTGACCAGATGACTTCTGAGGTCCGATCCAGCACTCAGTCTGTATCCCCTGATGCCTCTGTTTACAAGGTCATTGCTAGGACTGTCCTTGCCAACATCTTCCACAACCCTTTCCTACTCTCTGTGTGGGATCCCGGAAGTCAGAGATCTGGGAAACCTTGACACTGTGTTACTACAGGCAAGGCAACTGACCGCTCTGGACATCAGTCAAATGGGAACTGTAATACTGGCCTCCACCTCCCGTCCTAGGTTTATTGTGAGGATGACAAAAGCTAGAGGATGTGGCACAGACTCCTACCCCACTGTAAACAATGATTATTATTAAGCAACATTCCGTGTCAGAAAGAATGATGTGATGACCGCGACGGGGACAACTGAGCTCCAGAAGAGGAAAGACGGGAAGGAATGACTTCGAGGGGGTGTGGCAGTACCCCCAGAGGGGTTCTCAGGGCCCCCTGCTGAGACCCTGGGAGGCCCCACACAAGAGTTTCCACTGCAGCAAAAGAGGTCTGTTTTATTGGTCATCTCCCCCAGAAGCACCTGGCTCTGGTAGGGGGCCCAAGCAGAGAGCGGGAAACAACTTTGCATGCGCTCACACGATCTTGTCCTGGAAATGTCTTTGGCAGGCAGATTAGTGACCAAGAACTCCATCCATCTATTAAGGAACGCCAAGGGGAGAAGGCTGGCTGACTGGCTGAAAAGCTCCCAGGCCTTGAAATCAGAGAACTGGGGAGGAGAGGGACACAGCACTGGGGAACAAATGGGCCCCGAGGGCATACCTAGAGAGGAAAGAGACGAAGGATGAGAATTAGGGGATCCCTTCACTGTGCTCATCTATACCATCATTTATCCCATAAGATCATAGATGTAGAGCCAGGCTGGACCTTAGAGATCAGCTGATCCACATTAACACCACCACCCCTCCCCCACCGCCATTTTACAGATGAGGAGAAGTTGAAGTGACTAGCCCAAGGTCACTCATACAGTGAGTAGACAAAGCCAGATTCGAACTCCGGTCCTCATACTCCAAATCCAGCATACTTTCCACTGTCTGCCATGACTCTCCAGCAGCCTCTCCAAACCCCAACCTCGTCTTATAATGATCTAATTTTTTGAGTAATTATTTTTTTTCAATTAACAAGCATTTACTTTTTCTGAAGACATAAGCAGAAGTAATTCTGATGAGAAGAAAAAGGAGAGACTATTATGTATGCCCAGGGAATTCTGACTAAAGTCTTCATTTATGACCACCAAACCCAACATGTAATTAGGTGATCTGACTGAGCAAGAGAAAGTTGAGTAGGCAGATGTGAGGATGCCAGTGTACTCCATCCATCCCCACGAGTGTGTTTGGGGCTGAAGAAGCCGTTGCTGTCTGGGGCTAGTGGTTCAAAGCCTTGGCTTAGGGTTTCCATCCTAAAAAGGGTCTTGGGGCAAGTCAGACCTACAGCGTTTTAGCTAGAGCTGGGAGCAGAATCCAGGTCTTTGGACTCCAGGGACTCTTTCCACTGTGCCCCTGGGTTCAAACCTCATCTCTGTCATTTACTACATATGTCACTTTGGACAATCCACTTATCTTCCTTGGGCCTTAGTTTCCTCATCTGTAAAAGGAGAAGGTTGGACTAGATGACCTCCATGGGCCTTTCCAGCTCCAGGTCTAGGCTTCTGTGACTGAGGAAGTGGGCCATGCTCCACTACTGGGAATCTCCCACTCTACCCTGTCCTTAACTCCGTAGGTAAGTGACATGAACCAACACAGCACTCCTACCATGAACCTACCCCCTGGACACTTCACCATCTGAGACACTCCACCCAGGACTGGCATCATAAGCACAGTGCCAGGCACACAGTAGGTACCTAACAAATGCTTACTGATTGAGTCCTTGTCAGAAAGGATCCTGCTTACATGGGCAGCGGTAATTCAGCCTTGTGGGAAATGGTAGTGGGCTGTGCAGCCCAGAGTTGGGCTCAGGGAGCTATCTTCAGTACTTACCTCTAGAGTAAGCTACAGGGGCGTTTCTGCTGTCGAGTGGGTTGGGGGCAAAGGACGGCCCGGATGGCCTCATCAAAAACAGTTTTTAGTCCACGCTGAGTAAGGGCAGAACATTCCAGGTACTTCACAGAGTCTGGTGGGGGAGAGAGGGAGAGGGAATGGGAAATGAGAGGGGGAGGCAGAAAGACAGAGAGGAGAAGACGAAGGAGGAGGAGGAGGAGGGGAGAGGAGAAGAGAGAAAGAGATGGGGAGGGAGGGGGAGAGAGAGAGACTGTCAGCCAGTGTATCAGCATCCCATAACCATCAGATTGGGCAAGAGATGGATGAAGGAAAAACAAATCACAGAATCCTAGATTGCGAGCTGGGAGCGACCTCAGAGGCCATCTAGACAAACCCCCTTTCGTTACAGATGAAAAAACTGAAGCCCAAAGAAATTAAAGGTGACTTCCCTGGTCACAAAAAGAGATAGAAGAAAATACCTCTCCCTATTCCTTTAAAGAGGTGGGAGGTCCATGAATAGGGAATATTGTATGTATTTTCAGATTTTTTTCAAAGTATTGATCAATTTTACTATTTTTTCCTTTTCCTCTTTTTTTCTCTTTAAAAATATTCTTTGTTATATGAGATGGGTCTCTGGAAAGAAAGAGGGAGAAGGATACAGGGGGAAATTTAGGTGATGTAAAGATATCAATAAAATTTTATTATAAAAAGTAAAAATAATTATAACTAGCATTTATATTATGGTTTAAGGCTTACAAAGCACTTTACAAATATTATCTCATTTTACCCTCACAGCCTTGGGAGATAGGTACTATTATTAGCACCTATTTTATAGATGAGGAAACTAAGGCACAGAGGTTAAGTGACTTGCCTAGGGTCATACAGCTTGTAAGTTTCTGAGGCTGGATTTGAACTCAGATTGTCCTGACTCCAGGTCTAGTGCATTAACCTCTGGGACACCTAGATGTCTGTATGATTTGTTCAAGATCACATAGGTAGTAAGCGGTATTCAATCTCAAAGCATCGCGCCCTCCCAGGATCGGGAGAAATTAGGCCAATTGATTTTAAAGGTCCAATATAACAATAATTCATACTGATGGCAGTCAAAAATCCAGAGGGAGAGGTCATAGATCTGCAGAATCCCAAAATAAAACCAAGTCTTTATCTGATGCATGAACTTCCAAGTCAATATTTCTGGTAAGAGGCCATCTATTCTCCACTAAAATACCTGCAATGATGGGAAACTTACTACCTATCAAAGTGCTCATAACTTTTGGATAGCTTTAATTATTAGGAAATGCTTCCTTTCATCAAGTCAAAATCTGAGCATAGTGTCTTGTGCATAGAAATACCATATTACAAATGTCATTTGAATTGATTTAGAGATATAGAACTTTGGAGATAGAAGGAACATTAGTGATTATGGAGCATAAACTGTATCTGAGAAGGAATCTCCCCCTATAGCATCCCTATGAAGTGGTCATATGGCATCCACTTGAATACTTCCAGTGACGGAAAACTCACTACCTCGCAAGGCATTCCATTCTACTATTTAAATGCTCTGAACATCAGGAAATTGGGCTGAAATTGGTCTCTCTGCAATCTATTGTTCTTAGTTCTGCTCTTTTGAGACCATGAATTAGTCTAATACTTCTACATGACCAACTTTTTTTTTCATTTCCCCTGCTTTTTTAAAATTATTTATTCTAAACCTAACAAACATTAAAGAAAATGGGCATTTCCTTATATATAACATAACAGAGGAAGATGCTAACACATGAAACTTTGGAACTCTATTATCAACCATTTGCCTTTCTTTTAAGTATGTAATAAATTCAATAACTTGCAAACTACTGGACTGGGATTTTTTTTTGTCCTTTTTGTGATCTTTGTTATTTTTTCCCAGTTATCAAGCATTCCCTCCCCCATCTCCTCTTCTCCTACCCACAAATCCAGCAAGTGTGTTCTAAGTCTTCTCCATATTAAACACCCAGGTCCTTTAACCAACTCTTGTAAAGCCCAGTTTTGAATGTCCTCACCATCCTTCCAAATCCTTAAACAAGATTGATTCCTCAAACTTGGCTTAGCTACACTGAGCTCCCCTATTTGGAGGGCCGGACTTCCTGATTTCTTCATCTTTTTATCTTTCCTAGAAAAAAAATCCATACTTGTTTCCTCTAAAAAATATTTTCTTTCCTAAACTCCAGAACTCTCCTCTGTCATGAAACTTTTAATTCGAATTGAATATAATATTTACCACATTTGGACCAAGCTTGAATTTGAGCTTGAATTGAATTGGACCAAGCAGGGGTCTGCTGTTAAATGTTTAACTATCAGCTCTTGGGGGGGAGGATGTGCACAGAATACACTTTTAAGTTTAATCCTTATTGCTAAAATTTTCTCTGTTGCCTTCAATGAAACAAGAAATCAAACCTTGATTTGGAGTATCTGTCATCTTTCAAGGTATCAATGCTTACAATGAACATTTAACGATCTGCTTTAGAGAGGCTGGAGCTGGCCCCAGCATACTCCTGCTCCCAGGTTAAATTCTTCAAGGTCCACCTGCCCCTTTCACCCTCTACTCAGAACACAGAGCCCTAGAGACATACTTTCATTGCCCGCTGGGGACTCCCTCCTTTCCTGGACCCTTCAATATATCAAGGGCTTTCCAGCACTCTGACCTCTTGAATCAACTCTGTCGTATGACCTTGGACAGCTTCTCTCTGCCTCAGTTTTCCCTTCTGCACAATGGGGATGATACCTGCCCTGATCTCTTCAAACAAAGGCTGAATCACATAATTAAACAGCACTAATAAGAGTTACCATTTGCAGAGAGCTCTAAGATTTGAAAAGCACTTTGAGAATCCACCTGCTTTGCCTTGTCAAAACCAGAGGTGTAAAATCCAAGGTGCACCAGCTACGTGCAGTCAATCTAGCTTGGCCCAAACCAAGATTCGACTGCAGTTCTCATTTGATTTTAATGTGCTGATGTATTATTTTTTTTAAAAAAGGAATATGTAAACATGAGTAGTTTTCTCGGTCACTATGTGGACCACGGAGATCCTTATGTATGACTTAGCTGCCCTTGTTTTTATTTTAACACCACTGCTCTACACAATGGAAAGCCAGAGAGAGGATCTAACCCCTTCCCCGAAGAGGGCTTTGGAGTCAGAGGAGATATGTTTGAAACTTACCTTCCCGAGGCTCAGTTTCCTAATCAGTAAAATGAAGGGGTTGAACTAGTTGGCCTCTAGAATCTCATTGAGCACCAAACCCACTGAAGGATTTTCCACCTCTGCCTAACCTAGAAGGCCGAGTATCATCAGTAGGGAGCTGTTACAATTATTCCCATTTGACAGGTGGGAAAACCAATGCTCAAGTGGAATGACTTGCCCAAGGTCACACAGGTAATAAATGTCTTAGTCTGGATTTGAACTCAAGTCTTCTAGATGACCAGGTCAGCTCTAACCAGCTTTTCAGGGCCAATGGATACATTTTCAGTGTGATATTTTACACTTCAGAAATCAGCAAATGTTACAAATCAAGGCTTTATTTTCTGTTTTGCTGATGGTCTAGACTTAAGAAAGTGATGGCAAAAATGTTAATAATTAAGATTAAACTTCCAAGTGTTGCGTGTAATTCTTTTTCCTGGAAAGCCGGTTGTTAAACATACATCACCACACCCCTCATTTTCTAACCACTATGCCACTCTGTGTAAATAACACTGGGCTTAAATCCATATTGTGGATCTCAGACGTGTCCTTTACCAGCCATGGGTCCCTGGGCAAGTCACCTTACTGCTCTAACCTCAGTTTCCTCATTTGTGAAGTGAAGACACTGACATTTGTCTGGCCAGTCTTGTGGGGTATTGGGAGCTGGGGGAGTACATGTTCTGTGAATCCAAATGTGCATTTGAATGAGAATGAGCCCCAGGGAGCTCCAGCTGAGATGGAGGCAGTGAAGCCTTTGGGGGAGGCCAAGAGAGGAAGAAGCTTCAGCTCTATTGGTGGTGCCCATTCCCCAGGACGGAGGGAGAGGAACAGCGTTTGAAGTTCAGCTGGCCAATTCTTTAATAATTTGAATTCTGGTAAGTCATTTCTCTTTCCTAGATATGTTTATTTATCTGTAAGATCATGAAGTTGAACTAATCTCTCTAACACTCCCTGTTCTAAGGTCCCTCCCAGCTCTGACCCCCCCTGTTCTAAGGTCCCTCCCAGCTCTGACATCCCCTCTTCTAAGGCCCCTCCCAGCTCTGACATCCCCTCTTCTAAGGCCCCTCCCAGCTCTGACATCCCCCGTTCTAAGGTCCCTTCCAGCTCTGACCTCCCCTGTTCTAAGGCCCCTCCCAGCTCTGACATCCCCCGTTCTAAGGCCCCTCCCAGCTCTGACATCCCCTGTTCTAAGGTCCCTCCCAGCTCTGACATCC